TTCCACAAATTATCTTCTTTCTATTCCCAGGGAAAGTAACTTCAACACTTTGTTTTGCAGCACCTAGAAAAATGTGGATGATAGTGTCCATACAAAAAAAAAGCAAATATGATTATGGCATATCAGTACTCAACCAATAAATGCATAAATAAATGAAACAACAAATCCATGTCTCATTCTCCCCTCCTTTATCCTTCCCTCCCTCCCTTCCTTTCTCTAAAATCAATAAATAAAATAAAAACAATTCTTTAAAAAATAAAAGAAGGCAGCCTTCTAGAAGCTATGAAAAGAGCTCTCGCCAGAACCAGACTATGCTGGCTGATTTCAGATTTCCAGTCCACAGAACTGTAGAAAAAATAAATTTCTATTGTTTAAGCCATCCAGTGTATGATAGTTTTTATGGTAGCTCAAGCAAACTAATACATGACCCTTTGAAAATGTTGAATGTCTGGTATCAGGAAAACTCTGTTCTAGTCCATTTTGTTACTACTTGGCGAGGCAAAGTTAAAGCACACAAACCTCCTAAAACACTAAAAGAAGATAATTCTAATTGCCATTGCTAGTCATCTAAGTGTTGTTGAAATAACTTTCCACACCCAACATGGAGCTTAGAAAAGCAATCGGATATGCTCTGAACTGAATTATGCCCCTCATCTTCCAAATTCATGTATTGAAGACATAACTCTTAATGTCATGGTATTTGGAGATGGGACCTTTGGGAGATAACTAGGTTTAAATGAGGCCATGAGGAGAGGGCTCTGATCATGAGATTAGTGCTTGTGAGGACACACCAGAAGGCAGAGTTTGCCCTGGCCAGGTGTCATATCAGCAAACCAATAATTTAGGTAACTTTCCTGGCCTATAAATGTTCCCCTTGTTGAGAAATACAGTATATCCAGTCAGCCAACCAACTCTGGCCCTTCTCATCCCCCATGAGGCTGATTGTGTGTCCAGAGCCAATCAGATATTTTCTATTATTCTCTTCCTTGTTCTGCATTCTTTACCCTATAAAAGCTTCTTGCCTTCTGCCCTAATCTGTAGTTCTCCAAATGAAGACTTTCTGAGTTCATCAAGTGTTAAAGTTTGTTTCCATACCCTAAACTGTCTTCTTTAATCATTTTTAAGATAAAAGAATTAATTAGAATGATAAAAGAGAAAATGGGGGTCTGGAAAAAAAGAAAAGACACTCTTCACAGTTCGCCTCTCACCCCCCAGTCAGGCATACTTCCCTTGACCTCCTGGGCCGTATTTTAGCAGTTAGGACAGACCCCCCACTCCCACCCAGCTCTCTGCCCCAGAAAGTGGACCTATGTGGGGCATATTCCCCAGAACTCTGGCTTCTCACTGAGATTGAACAAATCTGAGAGAGAGCAGCAGAGTGCCAGAGATCAGAGTATTTGTTTCTTTTATTCCTCTGGCTCCTTCCCAGCAATGTTACCATGAATTAACTGTGCCTCTCACCAAAGTTCAAAGCTCCTCTCAAGATGGCTGACTCTCCCTCCAGGTTCTAGCAAACGAGCCCTTGTTCCTGGTTGCCTAGGCAAGGTAACGATTTGGGAACTGCTAAGCCCCCTTGCCCAGCCCTCCTTTGAACTTTCTGGTGGATCACTGAGTGCTCAACTTTGAAAACAGCCTTTTGGAAAAACAAAGCAAAACAAAAAACAAACTGATTCAAACTGTCCTTTCTTCAGTGTGCCATTTGCTTCCTGTTGTGACTTCAATCAATACACACACTTTTATTCATGCAGTGCCCTCAGGTTAAAATCTCCTTCCCTTCAACCTCTCTGGTCAACTTCTAAACATGTCCCCAAGCATGCTTAAATGTCGCAGTCCCTCTGTTATTTCCCATTGCCATCACAAAATGAATAAACTCTTCAGTCATGTTTCACTCCAACAGCACTTTATTTTTAAAAACAAATAGACCACCTACATATATATTACAATTTAGTTCAAGCGTCACACATCAAGGACAGCACCTGACATAAAGCACACACTTAATAATTATGTCAAATTACTGTGAAACAACCTCAAAAGTTTTTTTAATATATGTTATTTAAAGTATATATTTTTAAGCAGTGAACAAGAAATGAGTTCACATAAATTAGTTTGGCTGTGCATCTAGAAGAAAAAGTGTTAAAGACATGATTAATATATGCCTCATTATCCTTCAGAAATACAGTCTTCTATTCTTTCCTTATATCTTTAAAGCTTTGAATGTTTAATTTACCTTATAATATCATTTTATTTTAAAAACATTTTCTCACTGGTAAGCTCACTTAAACACATAACAAAGAGACATTTAGATGGCCATATAAGCAGTCAGGCATCATCTTTCAAAGTGTGCAATTAAGAAAACCAGTTGTTTTGCGGAGAAACCTAAGCTTCAATGACATTAATAGGTCTTTATTTTTGTTTTGTTTGTTTGTTTTGTTTTATTAATGGTTACCAGATGATTCTTATGAGAAACATCCTTAAGTGAATTACAAAGGTCAATCCCTAGTGGACTGAAATAAATTGTCAAGTTCAATTTAAAACAAAATTTTTAATTACAAGGTAGTCTACCTGGGGGCAACTTCATACTGAAAAGGCAAAAACCTCAAGTTAGTAGAATTTTATAAGAATTTAACCTCTACCCCAAAGAAAATATGATGCATCATTTCCCATAAATGATAAATATTACCTTATTAACATAATAGCATCTAAATGTTTCATCAATATTTAAAACATCTAAATGCTGCAAATATTTTGGGCCTAAATTTCCAGTTAATTATTTTCACTGAAATTTTCAGAGAATAATAATGAAGGTAGATTATACAACATTTCTTCATATTTGTTTAACATTTATTAGTCATTAAACATAGATTTTTAAAGCCAAGAGAAAATTTAAAAACCACATTTATTTATTATCATATTATTTCATTTCATATAGTATATTTTTTGACATAGTACATAGCATAGTATAGGAAGCATATCAGTCTGAGCCACAAGCCAAATAGCACAAACCCAGTGCTTATGAAAATAGAAAATGATTTCTCAGAGTTCTGGGGGACAGAAGTCTGAGACTGGGGTGCCCGCATGGCTGGGTTTGGGCCCTGTCCTGGGTCACAGACTTCTTACTGGATCTTCACATGGTTGAAAGCGTTACAGATCTCTCTGAAGTTTCTTTTGTGAAGTACTAAAAACCCATTTAACAAGGGGTTCATTCTCAGGGTCCCAGTTACTAGTACTATCACATTAGACTTCAGGATTTGAACAAAAAAAAAAATTAATAAACTGGGAAAAAGGTGACACAAACATTCAGACCATAGGAGAAAATATCAAAGATCTGCAGTCAGATAGGAGGGGCAAATGCCTACCATTATTTCCAATGTATTCATATATCAGTAATCATTCCTTCCTAGTAATTATTATTCCCCATGTATAAGAAAAATACCAAAATTAATTCAGCCACTGTTTCATGCAAAAAGTAGTAACGAGGTCAGAGTTCATTAAATTTTGTAATTTAAAGAAGGTGGGAAAACATTCTCAGCACTTTAAAAAATTAGTTTTAAAAAAACTAATTAGTTTCTTTAAAAACAAAAAACAGAAATGGCCTTGAGACCTAAAATGACAATGAGATCAGTAGTACCGTAACAGTTACCTTGCTTCACAGTTTCCATACAATCAGGCTTAATAAACCATAGAAAAAGCAAGCTGTTTGGTTTATTCCTGAATAGATTGGCCTAAAAGTGCTTTAACACTTAATAAATATTTCTTGTGCGCCTACTCTGTGCCAGGCACTACTCTAAGAATTGAGAATATATGGTATTAGCAAACAAAAGTGCAAAGGCCCCTGCTCTTGTGGAGTTTATCCAGACTTGGAAAGGCGATTATTTATATTAAATGTAAATCCCTCTTATTGTAAACCGTAGCTACTTTTTTCTCCTTTTCACTACAGATTAAAAAGAACCTCAGCTGCCATCCCATGTTAAAATGTCTCTTTATTCTAGACAATATGCTCTTCTGGTAACTATATTATGTATGGCAATACTTTAGTAATTTTCAGATACACTTATTATTTTACTATTTGGGGGGAGGAGCCCCTGAAAAACAAACATGCAATCGATGTTGATTTTAAATATACTTTAACTCTGAGTTAATGTTAAATTAAAAATGCCCATAAAAATAATAATTCAGTCACAGGATTTATAACAATAAATGCTATGAATGCTATTAAATATCTAAGGAAGGGAAAGAGAAACAAGGGACATGGAAATATTATATAATTATATGAGCAAAATCAAGTAAATGTTAAAGGATTTAGATAGCTTGTTATATAATCAAACACCTTAAATCTGTAATCCAGACTTTGGGACCCATCATCCCTTGAGCCTCCTTTGGGGAGACAAGAGAGGCCTTGCGGGCTCAGCAAACCGGGAACACACAGACCTAATGCCCAGGTAAGGCAGAGGGAGAGCAGGAGATGCCCAGCCTGTCGCTGACAGGCCAGTCCCGGTGCCCTCCCACAGCAGGACAGGAGAAACAAGGACCCCAGTGTCAAAGACCAGAAAGGGGAGAAAACAGAAAAAGCATGTCCCAAATGTACGCATTTCCAAAACCACACCACCTCCCACATTCATGTGGCTCATCACAAAGTCAATTTTATCAAAAATTTCCTTACAACTAAAACTTGCCCCTATGGCTGATGTAAAAAGTTTTTATTTTTCTATTAAACTTCCTGTTTTCTAAACTATGATTTTTATAATTACTCAGTAGGTCTTTATATAAAATTTCCAATGTTGATAATACAACTAAGTTTGATATCTCTCCAACAAAACAGTTCTAATCTAACACATCCCAATTTGTGGGTACCCTCTCCTAAATTTCCTCCATTTGAACATTTAAACTGTTTTGTCCACAATTATAATGCATCAATTTACGGTCTCATATTTTAAATCGTACTTTGCATACCAGCTTAAAAATAAATACGTTCAAATAAAAACAGGAGAGGGAAAAAGTACCTTTAATTTGGATCCATGAGGTATTAGTATAGATTTATTCTGTTTTGGTGGTATATACAACTCCCATTTTCCATAATCCAGTTTCTTGTATGGGTATGAAAATGGATTCCAATCATCTAAAAAATTAAAGAATAACAGTTAATAATATGGTCAAACTAATATTTAATGAACTTCAAGAAAAGCATAATATGCTTCTTACTTGTACTGAATCAAATTGATTAAAATTATTAAGTCTTACAAGGTGTTAATCAAAATACTCTACAGCCACTCAGAAAAAGTAGGTCAATCTTATTTTATTTTTAAGACATGCATTTGAAAAATTGCCTTCTGCATCTTAATATTAAGAATTACATTTTCAATTGTACTTTCAACTTTAATACTTCTATTAATAAACAGAAGGTAAAAGAAAATGGGGGACATATTTTTGACAAACACCATGGAGATAACATGAAAAATAGAAATGCATTCTAAGCAGTGAGCTAAGATGCATGTCATGGTAGAAAAAAAAAAGATGAAAAAGAATTAAAATTCTATTACATTTACCCAAATTCACAAGCAGGTGACAGAACTGAGTTAAAATCTAAAGAAATGCCTCAAGCAAGAAAGGTAGATGATAAACTATAGGGGCATAGGGAAGGTAGCTGGAAGATCTTGGAGGAAAGCCAGGAGTAACAACAGACTTAAGCACAAATGGAAACATATAATAGCTGTGGAAAAAAAAATCAGTGAGTAAAGGACACATTTATTAAGTGGTGCTGGTTAATAATTAGAGATATACAAATGACTCCCTACCTAATAACATGCAAAAGATTCAAAATAACATAAAATATTTAAATATGATAGGCAAAAGTATAAAATATAATACTTAAAAAATATTGGGAAATATATTTGTAATCCTGGGTTTAAGAGTGTTTTTTAAATGAGATTTAAAAAAAACCCACAGAACATTAAGGAAAGGCCTCATACACTTCACCACTATAATTATAAACTTTACTTCATAGAGATGGATGAATATATAGACAGAATCACAAGATAAGCTACCATCTGGGAAAATAAATTTGTAATGAATAAACCAAAGAAGAAAAAGAATCCAAAATATACAAAGAACATCTATAAGTCAACGAGAAAATAAAACAGTAGAAAGATGAGCAAAGCTATTCAGAGGAGCTTAAATGAATGGCCAATAAACATATGTAACGATTAGCAAGCTCAGTGGTAATTAAGGAAACACAAATTACAACAGTGCGGTGCCATTTCCCACCCATTGTATTAGTAAACTTAAAAGTTTGAAAATATCAAGTAGTCAGCAAGGATATAAAATAACATTGCAGCTGAGGGTATAAACTGGTAAAGCAACTTGACATCATGTAGCAAAGTTGAAGATACGTTAATTCTAGGGCACAACAAATTCTACTTCTAGGTAACAGCCAAGAGAAATTCTCACAAATGTATACAAGAAAGCATTCACAAGTGTATACTGAATAAATTTTAAAACAATAACAAAAAGTAGGCTATCAAAATTTAAATCAGCCACAAAATGGGTAAAAACACTGCAAATAACTGAACAGGAAGCTATATACAACAGTATAAACTGAATGGGTTAGAAACAATACATAGCCCTGGCTGGTCTGGCTGTGGACTGATCACCAGCCTGTGAACCAAATGGTCACCGGTTGGATTCCCAGTCAGGGCACATGCCTGGGTTGCTGTGCAGGTCCTCAGTAGGAGGAGCATGAGAAGTAATCACATATTGATGTTCCCCTCTCTCTTCCTCCCTCCCTTCGAATGTATCTAAAAATAAATAAAATCTTAAAAAATAACGATATATCAATATACACAAATAACCAAAACATAAAAGTTAATTTTAAAGGATTATGAAAGAAAACCATACATATGTAAAGCTCAAGAAATATGCACTTTAGCATATATAACACTACAGATGCGTACATATTTATAAAAATATTAAAAGAGAAATGAAAATGTTAAACATCAAATTCTATAGTGAGCTCTACAGAATAAATGGAACACAGTATGTTTCAATAATATCTGTAACATTTTATTTCTTAAGGTAGATGATGTATAGACATACCTATTCTGTTTTTCCCAGTTCATATATTTTTCGTTTGGGGGAAATTATGATTTTTCAATTTAATTTTATTGTATCTCTCTTCTAGTACCATTTAAGTTCCCTTGTACTCCCTCCTCTTCCCCCAGCAATCACCACACTGCTGTCCATGCCGATAAGTCCTTTTTCCTTTTGTTCAATTTCCCCACCTGTTAAACTCCCCACCTCCCCAGCTGTCATCCTGCTCTCCATCTGTGAGTCTGTCCCATCTTCCTTGTGAGTTCCATTTGTCCATTAGATTTCATGTATGAGTGAAATCACAGGGCATTTGTTTTCCTCTGACTGGCTTATTTCTCTTAGTATAACGTCCTCCAGGTCCATCCATACTGCCCCAAAGAGTATTTTTAATTTTTTATGGCAGAGTAGTATTCCATTGTGTAATGTCTTATAACTGTTTTACCTACTCGTCTACTGATGGACACTTGGGCTGCTTCCACATCTTGGTGATTGTAAATAATGCAGCAATGAACATAGGGGTGCCTATGTTCTTACCAGTTAGTGTTTTTGGTTCCTTTGTACATATTCCCATAAGTGGGATTGCTGGATCAAAAGGCAGATCAATCTCTGTTTTTTTGAAAAACTCTATACCAGTTTCCACAGTAGCTGCAACAATCTGCATTCCCACCTAGAGTGCAAAAAGGTTCCCCCTTCTTGCCAGCACTTGGTGGTTTTTTATTTTTTGATGACAGCCATTCTGACAGGTGTGAGATATCTTACTGTGGTTTTAATGTTCACTTCTCTTATTATTAGGAACTTGAGCATCTTTCCATATGTCTATTGGACATCTGTATGTCCTCTTTGGAGAAGTGTCTATTCAGGTCCAAAGACCACTTTTTAACTGGGTTGTTTTTCTGGTGTTGAGTTTTATAAGTTCTTCATAAATTTTGGATATCAACCCCTTATTGGATGCATCAGCAAATATGTTCTCCCATCCTGTGGGTCATCTTTGTACTTTGTTGATAAGTTCCTTAACTGTGAAAAAACTTTTAGTTTCATGTAGTCCCATCTGTTTACTTTTTTCTTTTGTTTCCCTCTTCTGGGGAGATAAATCCAATAAAATATTGCTATGAGCAATGTATGAGATTTTGCTGCCTATGTTTTCTTCTATTATTTTTATGGTTTGGGGTCTAACAAGTCTTTGATCTATTTTGAATTTATTATTCTGTGTAGTGTCAGAAGGTGATCTAGTTTCATTTTTCTGCATGTATCTATCCAATTTTTCCAACCCAATTTTTTGAATAAACTATCTTTAGCCCATTGTGCTTTTCTTCCTTTGTTGAATAGTAATTGACTATAAAGAGGTAGGTTTATTTCTGGGTCTTCTATTCTGTTCCATTGATCTATGTGTCTGTTTTTATTCCAATATTTTATACTGTTTTGATTACTATGGCCTTATAATATAGCTTGATACTAGGCAGCAAGATTCCTCCAACTTTGTTCTTATTTCTCAGGATCACTGCTGCTATGCAGGACTTTTCATGGTCCCATATAAATTTTTGAAATATTTGTTCTAGTTCTGTAAAATTGATAAGAATTATGTTGAACCTATAGACCGCTTTGGGTAGTAGGGATGTTTTAATGATGATAATATATCCTATCCATGAAGGTATGTGCTTCCAATTATTTGTATCTTCTTCAATTTCTCTCTTCAGTGTCTTATGATTTCTGAGACAGGTCTTTTACATCCTTGGTAGGTTTATTCCTAGGTATTTTATTCCTTTTGTAGCAATTATGAATGGGATTACTTCTTAATATTCCTTTCTGTTAGTTCATAACTGGCATACAAAAATGCAACTGATTTCTAGATATTAATTTTGTATCCTGCTACTTTGCTCAATTCATTTATCAGTTCTAGTAGTTTCTTGATGGAATCTTTTGGGTTCTCTATGTATAGTGTCATGCCATTGTCAAATAATAACAGTTTTCTTCTTTCTTTCCAATCTGGATGCCTTTTATTTCTTCTTCTTGTCTGATTGCTGTGGCTACAACTTCCAGTACTGTGTTGAGTAAGAGAGGTGAGAGAGGATATTCCTATCTTGTTCCTGACCTTAAGGGGGGCATTTGTATTTTTTACCTATTGAGTAGGTTGCCAGCAGTGAGTTTGTCATATATGGCCTTTATTATGTTTAGGTATGTTCCCTCTAATCGCCCTTTACTAAGAGTTTTTATCATAAATGAATGCTGGATTTTTTCAAGTGCTTTTTCTGCATCTATTGTTAATATCATGTGGTTTTTATCCTTCATTTTGTTTGTGTAGTATCACATTTTTGATTTGCAAATGTTGTACCAAGCTTGTATTCCTGGAATAAATCCCACTTGATTATGCTGTATGATCTTTGTATTTCATTGCTGTGTTCGGTTTGCTAATATTTTATAGAGGATTTTAGTGTCTATTTTAATTGTGTATATTAGCCTATAATTTTCTTTCTTTGCAGTGTCTTTAACTGGTTTTGGAATTAGGATAATGTTGGCCTCATAAAATGAGTTTGAGAGCCTTACTTCCTCTTCAGTTTGAGGAGAGTTGTTAGTCTTCTTGGGATGTTTGGTAAAATTCACCCTTTCCCTTATTTGTTTTTGCCTAATACACCTCATAGTTTTAAAATAAATTAATCATCCCTGTGATATTATACACTGTAGTGGTATAACTTTAAATTTTTAATAGAATAGATTAAAAAATATCAGAAATCTTGTTTAGTGGCATGATTTCCTTCTCTAAACACCAACTCTTTCACATCATGGACTCTAATGAATGACCTTCACTCTCCACCAGTGTGAACACTATGGCTGGAGATGTGGGTGAGAAACAACTTTTAAATAAAGGTCCTTCTAAATATTTATCCAGCCCTGACCACTGTGGCCCAGTTGGCTGGGTGACATCCCATAAAGCAAAAGGTCACATGTTCGATTCCCAGTCAGGGCACATGCCTGAGTTGTAGACTCAGTCTCAGCACCAGGTATAAATGGGAAGAAATCTATCAGTGTTTCTCTCCC